CTCTAGGCATTATTTATAAAACTTTCTGGCATGATATATAATACCATTGGGTATGATCTAAAAGATTTCTAAGCATGATTTATAAGACCTTCAGTATAATCTCTAAAATATGATTTATAAGACCTCTGAGCTTGATTTATAGGCATAATCTCCAAAACCTCCGGATATGATTCATAGGACCTCCAAGCATAATCTTCAAGACCTTCGAGCATGATTTATAAGACCTTTGGGCATGATCTAAAAGATTTTCAAACATGATTTGTATGACCTCTGGGCATGATTTCTATAAATGGATTTGTAAGACATCTTAGCATAATCTCCAAAACCTCTAAACATAATTTATAAGATTTTTAAGTATAATTTATAAGATCTCAAGGAGTAACTTAAAAGACCTTTAAGTATGATTTGTAAAATCTCCAAGTATAATTTTTAAAAAATGATTTGTAAAACCTCTAGTCATAATCCTCTAAGATATTTGAACATGATCTATAAAACCTCAGGCATGATCTCTAAGACCTCCGGGTTCCTTTTTTAGATTTAAATTTCCCAAGCTTCAAAGCCCTTGGTAAGGGGAGTATTTTATATTTTTAAAGTTTTATAGCCTCTATTAAGAGAGTTTTTTCAAAAATTTCTTTTACCCGAATAAAATGGATGTCTTTTTTTCTTAATACAATTTTTGTTTCATAGAAAATGTGCAAAGAGGGGTAGCTATAAACACCTCATTTTTTTTTGTTTTATTGATACATTGGGCTTTGAGTTTTTAATTAGATATTGGGCTTTTCATTATGCCATTAGATTTTTAATCCTAAATGAAAGGGCCTAAAATAGTTTTTATTTATTTTTTGTTTTATTTTTGTTATTTATTTGTTGAGAATTGAAATTAAATATAGATTTTTTGTATTGTGATTTGTCTTCAAGATCTGAATTAATTATTGAGCTTGGATTTGGCAACACTTGAGCCTTCAATTTTCCTAAAAAGGAAAGAAAATTAATGCAAAGTTAAAATTGAATCTTGATAGATTTGATTCCACGAAATCCTTCCTATGAATTTTTAGACTAAAAATCTATTATAAGAAAGCATTAGCAGCTTCAATAGGAAAACATAGGCAGTGAGCAAATTGGGCACAGTAAATAACTTGAGAGATCACAAATTCACATCCAAGAAAAGGAAAACAGCAATTCAGAATTAGAGGCCATTGAAAAATAAGAAATTTTTGGCAAAGTTTTGAAAAACACAAAAGGGTCAAACAAGGGAAGCATTGAGACAAAGTTCAGCATTCACACTTAATTCCAACTAGTAATTCAAAGCCAAAGTCCTTAATTATACCAATTTTAGAACAAAATCCACAAAAGCCAAAAATTGAAGTTTAATTCGAGGAAATTTCCAACAATCAAGTAAAAAAGTACTAGGCAATAGATCACAATGGAATCAACAAAACTATGGCCCTTAACTATCATTAAAGTCTCAAACAAGCAATCATTAACGAAGAAATTGAGAAACCTATCAGCAATCACATAAGTAACACAAGAAGTAATTTCAGAGTAAGTGAGCACAAAAAAAAAGAACTGTTGGCCAAAGAACTAAACAATAATTTAAAGCTGTTTTTCCAACCACACACAAGCTTTCAATAGCCAATACACGATCCAACATACCTTAATTAGAAAACAAAATTCTTCAAGATTAAGAATTGGGCTAAAATAGAAATAATAAGGCAAGCAATTATCTAGAAAAAAAATTTGGCCAACAAACCCTAAAAGCCTAAACATAACACATTTACCTCTGAATCAAACACTAACAATAGAAACAAACACCCCAAACGGATTTTTTCTAAAAAGCAACAGATCAGCCAAAGCCCAATTCAAGCATAATTTTTGTGCACACCTTCACAAATCAAAATCAAAGCAAAAAAAGTTTTCCATGGTACAATTTAGGTTATTTGATTTTCAGATGTAGGGTAATCTTTTTAAGTTTCTTGAACTAAGTAAAAAGAAGAGGAAAAAACTAACACGGTAGGGTGATCAAGATGAATGTTGAGTGGTGGTCTATGAACGGATTCTAAGGCTTTAGCTGAGTTTTAGTTTTCTGCGTTTTGAATGTTTGGTAGAAGAAAAAGTTAGCAGCATAGGGTTTTGGAGAAAAAGAAGGTTAAGAAAAAAAGAGGAAGAAAGGTGATGAATGATGGATCAGCCTTGGTGGCTGATGTTGGATTTTTAGGGAAAGAGTTTCATCAACAACTGGATTTTTGGTTCTTGGTATAAGGATGGTCAATGGGAAAGGTCATAAGGGAGCGTAAAAGCATTCCCATCTCCATCACCAGATTTTTATATTATAGCCTATACCCATACCCAAACGGTACTTTACAATTTAATCCACATCCCTATTCTGTGAATACTTAATGGATATGGGTAATCCCCCATACCTACAGCTTTTAAAAAAAATAAAACTAAAATTTGATTTTTTAGTTTTTTTAATTTGTATATTTAAGCAATTTTTATAAAATATGTTAATATATAATTTTTTTCAATAAAAATATATTTAATTCTAATTAATCTAAAATAATAATTTTATATTATTTAATAAAAAAATTTATTTAGTAAATATATATAAATATATATGTAGGGTACGGGTATAGGGCAGGTACTATATTACTCTTCCCTCATTCTCGTATCACAATAAAAATTTAAAAATCATACACATCTGCCATACCCATAATATAGATACCACATCTCTATCCCTATTCAGGTAAACAGTCAGGTTCCATCGTTGGGTATGGGATAAGATTCGACATCACTTACTTGGTGTTATTAGCTGGGTTTGAATAAGAGAGAATTTGAGAGACTTAAAAGAAGTAAAGAGAAAAAAAGGTAGCCATAAAATGAACAGTTATTTTTTGCTTTATGAACAGTTCAAATTATGGGAATTTGGATAAGAACTGGGAGGTGCACGCGATCCTACAGAAAAGGAAGCTTCTATGCATGGCATCATAACCTAACCAAAATTTATTTGGAAAAACTTAATTTTTTTTATTTTTCAGTTTTTATTTTCTTTTCATTATTTTTATATATTTTATATTTTATATTATTTTATTTAATTATGATTGACTTAAAGGATAAGGAAAAGAAAAGAAAAAAAAAACTTTGCATGATTATATTATTTACTTGCATGATTATATTATTTATTTGCATGAGTATTATTTGCTTGCACGATTAGATTATTTATTTGCATGATTTATTATATATTCTTGCATGTTTATTTTTTGATTTATTATGATATTTTGGTATGATTATTGCATGATTTTATATTTATTGCATGATATTTTTACATGATATTTTTTGCATGATTATTATATATATTTGCCTAAATTGCATGGATATTTTTACATAATATTTTTGGCATGATTTATTGCATGAAGCTTTTTATATTCATTGCACGATATCTTTGCATGATATTTTATAAAATTTTTGTGTAACAATGTGTGTAAATAAATAAAAGGATTGGAATTGATTTACTTACATGATAAAAAATCATCTTTTAATTAAGGCTTAGTAAGATAACATATGATTAATTTTGGTATCAATTGGGATACTAAAATC